AGTTCTATTTATAATTGAAGCCACCTGCCTTTCTACACTGCTGAAGAGCTGGTGCTCATATGTGAGCCCCGAGGATATAAAGGCATGATGAAAATTATAAAGTCGAGAAAGGTCATTTATGCTGTTCTGTAGTGTAGAGGCAGATGGATGCTAGGGGCTACTCCAGTCATTTCTTTAAAAAGTGTAGCCTTTCTCAAATCATCCTGGTAATGTATTCCATATACCTGTGGCTCATTGGGTTTAGAAACACTACTTTCAGCTCTGTGCTTAGTTCCACTGTATTAACATCATGGTTCTCTAGCTAAAGTCAAAGCTTCTGAGGAACTGAGGGATGAGTCAGCAGTTACTTTTGAGTGTCTGTCTGGTGGCATCACTGTAAGAAACAGCAACACAACCAAACAGGACAGAGAGACCATACAGAGGGTTGTGGCATCTGCAAAAAAAACTCATAAGATCTAACTTGCGAATAACAGAAGATATTTACAGTATGTCTTTTAATGACCGTGCCATTTGCTCTGTAAACATTTGCATGTATAAGAAAAAATAGGGCTTCAAAGAAATATGTACAACAGTCCATCTCATCCATTTCACAATGGGTCACTTAGTGTCATTGGTTAGCTTTTGTGTTTTTCTTTTCTTTTTGATTTTTCATTTCTGAAGAAATTTGTGAAAAATGACACAGGATATTAAACTATGGTAAGACAGTCACATCAGATCTGAAGTTTAATATTACGTTATCAGATATTATCAGAACAAGATATATTGTTTACATTAAACTCTGCACTTTGAGAACAAGAATTAAGACAAGGCAATAGAAAGACTTAAAAAGTAAAAATAAAATAAGAAACACCTGCAAGCAAAAACAAAACATAATTCAAGATAATTGGCACCGAATTATAGATACAGTAAATACAGTACTTCAGTAAATCACATTATTCTCAGGGCAGAAGACAGGGCAGCATTTCAGAATTCAACAAAAAACGAATTCAAACATATTTTTTGAAAATTTTGAACTGTTTTATTTATGCTTCAATGCTATAAAGCTACGGTAACATGTAACTGTAAACAAGCAGCAAAGCCAGGACATCCTTTTCTTTCCAAACTTTAAAAATACAACAAAAATGGATACTGAGAAACAAAAGGTGTGACTATGAAATTAATTTTTCTAACTAAAAAATTGCATTATGGGAATTTCAGTTTCTCAGTTGAATTTCTCAAATAAACAATATATCAATTTGACACAAATCACAGAAATACAGCCTTCATGGCAGAGACATGAACCCAAAAGCCATGACACATGATGACACATTTGCACTAGAAAATACAGATGTATCAGGATTAACTGTCACCTTAAAACAAAATAATTACTACAATTTCAGTGAATTACCATAAGTGTTTCTGAACCAAAAGGAAAATCACTGAAAAGAGCAGCTTTTGCCCAGCAGTGTATGCTTTAGTTTTATCATAACTAATGGACTGTTGTTGCGACAATGACATGTTATAAGATGTAAAAAATTCCTGTAGCACAATGACTGCTGTAATAGCAGCAGCTACCAGGTCACAACCAGCATAATTCCCTGACCTGGAGGTAAATTCAAATGAATAAAACATGATATTGATATTAATATTGATGCACAAGTCTTTCTCTATACCTTACCACTGAGTGTGGCCATACTGGCTCACAAGTCTTGTACGCCTGATTATCGGAATGGTACAGAGAGGGACAGCTTCAAATGGTATGACAGGAACAATTGGTGATAACTGAGGGTAGGGTTATAGGATTTGTAAAGACTGAAAAAACGACAACTGTGTATCCTAACTGACACATAGACAACATCAAATGGATTATATACATAAAGAAGAACTTTCTTAGCAATACTGAATCTATAGAGGTCATTATTTGCCCTTTAAGTGATGTCCATTGATTCAAAGCCATGTGAAAAGTCAAAACCAGGAAGACACAAATATTGGCACACCCCTGCTAAAAACAGACAACCGTAGAGATTCATGAGAGGGTCTGCTCCTATTGCAGTATGTAGTAAACTTTAAGAATAAGAGTTGCCTGCAAGCAAATCGAAGTTTAATTTGAACATAGAAGCGAAAACGAAACTAATACAAAGCACTGTCAAAACTGTTCCGGAAATTAGTTCTGCCTTTCAAAATAGCACGAGCTCCCATGGGGAAGGCCTGCCTCAGGAATGCAGCATCATGAAGGAACCAGTCAGTGACAAAACCCCACTTGACATGCATCTTAACAGTGACACTATCTGCATTCTCTATAGCTTACGGCATTTTGGTGCCAGTATACAGCATGATAGTATTAAAAGCTGGTAGAACCTGGTCTTACTAAACTGCATATTTATTTTACTTTTTCTGTGAGAAATACAGCTTTCAATGAAGAGCTGAATTAACATACGGGAGAATGAGTTGAACAGGCCTAAAACTGCAGCGGTAATGGATTTTGTGCAGTACATTAAAATCCGACCGGCAATAGATAATCTAAGAGAAAATAGAAAAACCAACATTTGCAGTTTTCCAGATGCACAGTAATGTGATGTTGCAGTCTACGAAGGACTTTAAAGCTGTACAACAGGTTTTGTGCAAGAAATGCTAGTGTGTTTGCGTTTGTCCCTTTAAAATCTAACAGTACAGCACTGAACAGGGAAGGGAAGAAAGAGAAAGGCCCAGAGGAAAACTATTTTTAAAGGGACTGAACAGATTTACTAACTGAAACCAAGTTTTGAAATCTGGAAATTAAAAAACTGTTCCAGAAAAAAAGGAAACAAGGCTTGCAAAGCAGTTCTGATTCGTGCTGCACATACAGTACGCTACAGGGAACAACTAGCAGCCTGCCAGAGGCTGAAGGGGAGGAGGAGGAGGGATTAGAGTCTGGAAAAGGGAGATTCCCAACCAGGAGGTTAATAGAGCTAAACCCTAGCAGCACATCTTCAAATAAAACTCATCACCACCGCACTCGAATTCAGAAAACCTTTGATACACTCCACCTGCCCAGATTATGCACTCACAGCTTGCATTCACAAGAGAAACTGGGGTGAATTTTTGCTACTTATGAAACATCTTTTAGGAACCAGCCAAGGTTTAAGACAGACTCAGATTTCAAGTCTGATTCCTTTATTCTGAAACACAACATACATCTTAATGTTAATTCTCTAACATTCTCTAAATTTAAAACAAACTCAAGCATATGCAATTACAGTATAAAGTGCAATTTATCACTGTTAAAATAAGGCCCTGTGTGATCATATTTTTGTCTTCATTCAGACTCTGACTCTGATGATATTCTGGCAAAATTTTTTTTATATTCTGCAAGAATTATGTCAATTTACCTAAATAAATTAACTCAAATCATGATCGCTACATGTACATAGCATTTGATCCTAGAATGTAAAGTTAGCAAACCGATCTCATCATCTGCAGCATGTGATGGAGAGCCATCACATGATAGGGGTTTTACTGGGAAGTTTGAAAAGACGGAATAAACCCCTTTCTGTTTTGCTGTTGTTATTAAAGGAATGTGCGTGTTCTCTGCTAAAGGGCAGCCCTATACGCAAACTGGAAACATGTTTAGTGTCAGATAGCTTTCTTTCTGTAAGTAAATGTTCTTAGTGTAAATGCTGAGTGAATAAAGAGGTCATTTGTTTTTATATTCTGAAATACTCAAAGTAAAGTATTTTAGCAGTCAAGGTAAAGGAAAAGTGCACTTGCTTTGCCCTCTTTACACACACAACTCATCGTGTCCACATCTGACATACGAGTTATTGTCTAAATATTAGGGTGAACTGCAGGGACTGTTAGGAAAAATGTGGAGAAACTTCACACCTCCAGGAGGAGCAGACAGCTGAAAACATTAACTCACCATAAGTAAAAAATGTGCTCTGTTTAATGTTAATTCAAAGTAACGGTTTCCAAAGAAAGAAACTTTAGATACCTGATGTTTATCAGCAGTGACATGCTTGATTGCACCACAGATGTTTGGATTTTAACTAGCCTTTAGCTGAGTTTCACAGCCAATATCAATACAATTGAGTGCTATATAAGGGTTATGTTCATGGCCAAGTCAGACAAGGGACAGAGGCACATGTGGCAGGTCACTATAACCTGTAGTGAGGAAAGCAGGAAAAACTCTCAAACAGAAAAAAAGTTTCGGTAATAGAGTGTAAAGGAAAGCTCTGTCCAGAATTCATGACTAATTCGTCTGGTCTGCATGATGAAAGATTATTTCAAACAGGATGCCAAAATTGAAATTACAAAAATTACAAATACTGTAGGACTCACGTAAGAGAAAACAAGAAAAGAGTAAAGAAAGAGTAAAGTGCTGCACAAATGTGAATGGATATGAAGATGTGCAGAGATAGTGAGTTATTCTGTTATTCTGTTGGCTCTGAATGTCTGAAACAAGAAAAGAATCAATGATTGAAACAATTTTCACAACTCCTGCAAAGTTTAAAAAACAGCCCAGCGGCTCCTAGCTGCCCATATACAGTCATTAATATTTGGTTAAAGTTGTATTGATCTTAAGTAAATGAGCCATGGAGAATTGAAAGTCAAATAATTGACAGAATCCTGAAATTCTGCAGTCTCATTTATACAGTGTGCCATCTCAAAGAGCAAGATCACTCTAAAAAGACACAAATATGGGGTTTGGATTTCATTATTAATTCTGCCTTCCCCTCTCTACTGAACTGTGTAATACATTTTGCTTAATATGTGAACAACTGAGTTTTTTCATTTTAACACAGAAAACACGCATCATTTTATGTGTATTGTAAGGTTCTCAGTTTTATTCAAGACAGGAAGCTGTACTGGTGCGTGCGCTCCCTGTGCTGTAGTGGAAACTATTTCTCTTTACTGTCCTGTGCTCTTCTACAGCACTGTCACATGCCTGGGAGAAAAGGAGTCAGGGTGTGACATGTGCCAAGCCCGCATGGCGCCATGACTGTGAGCAGGGCCAGGGAGAGGGGTCAGTAAAGCAGACTCACGGCAGCCCTTCTCATCACTCATGTCAAAGCAGTCGGGGAGCCCATCGCACTGCCAGGCCCCCGGCACGCACGTCCCGTCCCCACACATGAAGTTCCCGGGAATGTTGCATTCCGTGGTGAAGTTGTTCCCTGGGAGCAGCTGGCTTTCTGCACGAGGGAGAGAGAGGAAAGAGAGGAAAATGCAGTCAAAAGTGTGCTACATGGTGACTCCCCGCGTGAAGTCTTATTTTTAAAGGACTGTTTGAGGACAATAAGAAGAGGACACAGGATGTCAAGCCATTTGACATTCCATTTCCAGTGGAAACACATTGGTGGCCAAGACTCAGTCTTGTATGTTTAGCATCGTGAGTATGGAAGATGCAGGAATCCCACCAGTCCTTCTTTAATCTGTCCTGTTGATGCTATCATGCCTTCCTCATTTTCCAAAGTAAGGATGGAGTTTGTAACCAGCAAACCCATACAGCATGTTTAGGAATCTGAGCTTCATCTTTTTGTTGTTTTGTTTTATCTCCAAAGGCAGAGGAAAAGGCTTCTGAGTAGCCACACAACTGTTCAGACTCTCCTGGGCTGATGTGTATCTTACTGTTCTTGAAGAAATGTAAAAGCCTTTATTTAAGTCATTCATAAGATTGATACTGGATTGTCACTGATCACGTAAATATTTTAGACAGAGGCCTGTTTTTTTAGAATCGCCAATTATTTGTGTCAAACATAGCTGGAATAGCCAGGTTGTGTGTCTGACTCGCAGCTAAGATTCCCCTGACCACACAAGGGAGAGAGCGAAGTGCAGGCCAGCCCACTCTCCAGCCAATCACATTTTAGCATGTCGCAGGTCTTGCTACAGGACGTCCAATGCCATTTGTAGGAGAGGTGCATTTCTCACCAGTAGCAGCACACACCTGTGAGCTCTTTGTTAGGCACAGGGCTTGTTGTGTCATCGCCAGAGCTACTACCCTCATCATCTAATTGTGTGCCACCACATGAACATTCCTGATTTCACACGGCTGGCGATTACAGAGCTTGAGCGCCTATAAGGCTTAAGCTACTCCGGAAGTTTTATTATTTATACTGAATTAAATAAACATAGAAACAAAATGCATAAAAATGGCCTACTTCAGTACAAAATTGCATTTTGTGATCTGTTGCGTGTACAACAGTGACATAGCTATAAGAGTACAATGAGTCTGTAACCTTCATGAAAGAATGAATGATCACTTTACTAGCCATACACAATTTCTTGTATTAGCAATCTGTCTTTTTGCACACCCCAACGTGCTCTCCATGAGACACACAGACAGGGAGAGAGGCTTGGGGTCAGAATACAGGGTCAGACATTTTATACAGCACCCCTGGAGCAGTTGGGGTTAAGGGCCTTGCTCAGGGGCCCAGTGGAGTAGGACTCATCTGCTGGCCACAGGATATAAACCGGCAACCTTCCAGCCACAGGCGCAGATCCTTAGCCACAGAGCCACTGCACTGCCTCTACACTACATGAAGCCAAAGAACTATTACTTGAAGATATTAACATTAATTCACAACCTTTTTAAAACCGAAAACTCTTTAACCCCACTCTGAATACTAAAGCTTTCATTTGTTTGTGTGCTTTTCAACCCGTGACCGACTTTATACAGTATATCAGTGCTAATGCTGTGTCTGACTGTTTTAAAGGCACACAACCAACACAGAAGTATGTGCTCTCTGTAGGGACTCTGTATCCACAGAGGCTAAATTTAGCTTTCCACTCCAGCTTAAGGGTTTTCATGGAAGAAAGTTCCACTGCACACATCAGCTTATTACTCAGGAGAACCGAAACCCCCTTTTAAAATTAGAAATCGGAGGCTCACCTGCAAACTGCAGACTGCGTGTGAAAAAGAAGCAGGATTTTTCACACTGCTTATTAGCAGCTGCCTCCTCCTAGCTGTGGGGCACGATAAACATCCTGCCGTGTCTTTCTCACCAGAGCACTGACTAACATCACCTGCTTGTGATCCTAGCACTGGGCCGGCCTTGATACCGTCTTTGCTAAAGTCTGGCAGGTTCTGGGTGGGGAGTCCCTAACAAGAGGCCAAGAGCTGCTCAAGTATTAAGCACGCACACCAACACTGTCTTCTCTGCCAGCACCTAGCAGACAGTGAGAAATCTCTTATGAAACAATTAAAACTAAAAAGAACCACTCCCTGGTACATATAAAAGAACTACCTTGTAGATCTTACAGACAAAGAAGAACAAGGACAACTGCGGTACAATTTAGATTTCTATCACACCTTCAATCAAGAGACTCTTGATAAACGTCACAGAGCATCACCCAAGGCATTCAAATGAAGCAATTAAAAATGACTGTAAATGTGTACAAATTACAATATCCTACTGCTCTGCAGTTGTACAATAACTGAATTTTTACCATTACCTGTGAGTTTATAATATTCCAGAGAGAGATAAACAGCTCAATGAAATCAAAATTTATTGCATCACATGTCTGTTTGCTTTCCCTAGACTCAATCAGTAATCTGTTCTTTGTCTGCTTTCTGGTACAGATACAGCACAGATTTCTCTTTTATAGGCAGCTGCCCTGTGCAGAGACTCCATAAACACTGAACCTAATGCTAATTCCGTTCCCACCTCCAATCTAAGGATTTTTATTGTTTTTTTCTCATATTAAATATGCATCCACTGAAATTAAGCTTCTGCTTTAACCGCAGGTATTCCATAATCCCCACATTTCCCCCTCACAATTAGGGAATATAACCTGTAACTAATATAATTTAAAACTAATCAGTTTATGATCTTTCAGTTCCTTAATTATTCTTGATTTCCATAAAGGGGCCTATTTGACATCTGACGGTTTCAGTCTGAAGATCTGGTGCTCCTTTGAATATTTGCAGGGTCTAATCCACTACATACTCTGTAATTATTGCTACAGTACATATTAAACTCTCCATGGATGGAGGTTTTGAGCTACGTGAATAAATGATGATGAATACAGAGCACAACGCAAGCCTATCTGTCTGCAAGCAGATATAATGCTGTCTTGAAGGATGTAACAGAACTGTTACCACATATTTCATCAGGCCCTGAATTCTGCTGTAACACCCTATGCTATGTTCTGCAATTTAATTAATAAAATATGATGTTTTGAATTTAATTGTAAATACTGTTTATTCTGCTGGTACAGGATGCTAGCTGGCATAATAGCTACTAGCAAACCACGCCAGGTGTGATATTTTCTCACTGGATTTATCAAGTGTGTGATTGCGAAATTCTCAGAGATACAAAGATGTGATTACTGTAGGGTTTTCATTAAACTAACTCTCACAAAGCACAAGGACCTCAGTTCTCAGGTGAAGCCTGCACTGCTAGCACATTGTGCAATAGATGTACAGTACAGACCAACAAGCTTCTGCACTTTTCCTGGAAATGTGCCTCAGGAGCCTTGAAAAGATGTGTTTAGAAAGGCTTGCTGGGAATTCAGGTAAGGTCACCAGTTTCTAATTTAGCTGTAATCATACTCCAAAGGCCATAGAGGTGCAAAGCTAAAGATTTGTTTAAAAAAATACTTTGTCTTATGTGTAATTGGTCACATCTCATGTGCAGACAGGTATGACTCTAGTTTTCTGGAAACATTCATTTCCTTTTTGTTCAGAAAAATACAGAAAATCATTTTTGACTATGTTTTTTTTTTACTTGGTGCTTATTTCATTCCCCAGTATAAGAAACACAGAGGCAATACATTTATGAAGGAATTCATGAAACTTTATATTTTAAAAACAAGTGATATCGCTTACACCCTTGGAGGGAGTACTTATTTAGCAGACAGAAAAATGTTGGCATCATGTACTCTTTTGCTTTGTCACCAAAACAGTAGTACACATTTTATTTAGTAAATTGTCAGTTCCTTTCAAAACAAAACAAAACAACTAATAACCATGAATACATACCACAATGGATTAATTATGCACAATATTGAGTCTTACAGAAACAATTAAATTCTAATCTCTGGCAAAGGCTAGCAATATTGAGTTGCACAATGGAAGGGTTCCAGTTCAAATTTACTGGAACAATCAGAAATTAGTTTAACGGATACAAGGAATCAATTGTACAAAACAAAGAGCTATATTTGTCAGCTCATTCAAAGTATACATATATAAATGTATTACCAAAGAACAAACTAACAAGAGTTAAATATATTGTATCGATCTTCCATGATACAAATGGCTGATCATTCCTGCAGAGTTTACAAAAATACTAGTAATAGGAAGGTTAAATATACTATAGTACTATTAAGGTTACTACAAAGGTTAAATTACTATAACACGTGTTAATGTCAGCCTTGTAGTTTGAATCTGTCTCATATAACTGCTTTAATATTCATCCATTCAAAGACAAGTAAATAGTTCCTGTTGTGCACTAAACTACAGTATATTGTGAACATTGAATTTCTACTCATCCAAGTCACGGAGATCCCAGGCAATTCTATGGAGAGTTTAAAAGACCTGCAGGCAGATGGATGGAGTTGGATTCGTTACAGCTGTCCTGCCTTGCTCTGATGGCTTGGTGCCAAAGGTTGTATTGTTGGCACAGGATAAGAGAGTCCTGCTTGGTCTGTTACCTAAGACAGCTCTTCAGGATTGGAAAGAATTCCACTTAGACTTTTTATTCGGTGGCTTTCCAGCAATTTGTGCACAATGTCTGACTTGGGTTTGTCTGCATGTGAGACTGAGGTGGTGAAAACTCAAAATCTGCTTGGCCTGGTCACAGCAGCTTTGACATTTCAGAAGTCTTCAAAAGGCCAGCTGGATGAATTTTGTTGATCACACAAAACTACAACTGGAGATTCCAGGGACTATTTGGGGTAGATTTGTTTTATGTGTAGACTCATTTTCTAATCCTGGTGTTTCTTGAATTTCTTGAAGCTGGAACTATGGTGGTTGTGGTCACATGGTTCATTAGTCTGTCAGATTTTGAGTAAGAGAGAGAGCAAGCCTCCATTGTTGTGCAGCACCTTTTAAATCCAGGTGATTTAAAATCATGGTGATTGGATGTGATGTCATCAGGTGTACAGCTCTACTGTTCTCTCATCGGTTATTTATCCTTGTGACCCACTGCAGTCCCACACTAGATGTCTCCTCCCCCCATCTTGGGGTTGTAGA